AAAACTTTTAAAAAATTCGCATTCTGAATCGTATTTTTAAAAAATGCACATTCTACGACTTCTAAATCGGCCCCTTTTTATCGTAGACTGAATTTGCTATGCTGAATCTGCGATTCTGAACCTGCGAGCTTTACCGTATTTTTATAAAGATTTTTGAAAAATTAGAGACTTAAAAAATTTCATCAATTTTTAAAATTCTTTTGAAATTGGAATAAAGATATTAATAGAGAATTTATTTTATTTCTTAATAAATATATTATTAAATAAATATTCTTAAAGTGCAATATTTCATTTAAAATAGTAATACCTCATTTTCTTAAGCTAAGGAAAATTGGCCATTTTACCTTGTTTTATGTATTTCGGCTTATCATTTTTACTTTTGGATTAAAATTTATTTATTTAATAAGCAATCTGGCTTAATATATTCGAAAAACTTAGTGACTGGCTTGTAGCACATGATAACCCTCATGAGAAGGGCAAAGATATTTTTTAAAGTATTTGGGTTTGGATGTTTATTTAAAGCCAATTTATTTGACATTTGATTCATTTTAGTTTTTTAATTAATAAGTAATTTACTCCTATCCTTTTCTATAAAGCTATTAAAAGCAATTATAAGTATATTCTGGATTTCCCTTGTAGATGAATACCAGCTACACTAGAATCCAAAAAGTCTGACAGAGGGTTAGGGGAACATTTCAACTAAACACAATACATACTCTTAAAATTTTTTCTATTTTAAAAATAAAACCGTTGGGTGTGCGCAACTGTAAAAAATGTTGCAAATTTCTAAATTTCATAACCTCATATCGGAAACGTTTTGAAATTTTCTCCCAAAATTTCTGATAGTTCTGGCTATCATATTATGCTATAATATAATCTCATTTATTAATTTATCTTCCGCGTTTTTAGAAAAAATAACTTATCCCATATTATTATAAGAATATACTGAGAGATTGACTTATCAAAATTTTAATTATAATAAATATTTTTAATCATTTTAATAATATAAAAAATAATTTCAATTTTAGACTAAAAAACAAAAACCTAGAAAATGCGCCTACTCGTTTTAGGCGCGTTTACCTTGATTATTGCATTGGGAGAAGCAAAGGATAAAGGGGAGGCACCTGAGCGATCATCTCAGGGTTTGCCAGGAAATTTAAACGTATATCTGGAACCAAATGATGGTGGGTGCAAGAGAAAGCTTTACGATCCAAAATTTCAGTTACCGCTGCCTCGTCAATACGCTGGAATTTACAAATGTAAGTTTTTTAACAAATCTTTTATATTTATTTTATAAATAACATTCCTTCATAAATAAATAAAAATTCATTTTTTATTCGTTTTTATGTATAATAATCGTTTTTACATTAATAATTTAAGCGGCAATCTATCCAAGAGCTACCGTTTCTGATGAGGAATTTAATAGAGTCTTGGAAATTCAGAATGGATGGCTAAAAAACATTATGAGTGAGGAGGCCTATGAGGATTACAAAAATATGGGCCCTGATAACCATATTGAAAAAATACATGCTCAAAAGCCACACTTAAAAGACTTGAAGGAAAAATCAAAAAAAGTAGCGATGGAAAATAAAGCTATAAAGTTATTGAAAGATATAGATCATGTGTCAGAACGAGAGAAAGCTGTAGAATTGTTAAAAAAGGCGGGATATTCGATTTCAGAAGATGAAGATGTTGATAAAATTTTAAAGGAATTGAAGGAAAAAGTGTCCTTAAAGTTGGATATGGATCCTGGTCAAGATGTTCCACGTGGTTGCATTATAATTAACGAAGATGGAATTTGTAAAATTGATGTTTGTATGTTTCATTTATCTCATTTTTGAATATTAGAAGATTAAATTATTTTATAAATTTAAAATTCTAACGTCTTGAAATAATCTATACTGCAAATTTAAGATACCTAATGCCATTCTTATAGCTCTCATGTTATCTTTTAATTTTAGTCCTAAAAATTCCTAATAAACTTTGAGCAATTAAACAAAAAAACAAAAAAAACTAAACTACAGGGTGGGTTTTATGGCTTTGGAATCTAACATACGACAGATATCGAGCCGTCTAGCGGGCTCCCGGACAATCCGTCAGTGGACAATCCGGCAGTGGAAAATCCGTCAGTGGACAATCCGTCAGTGGTCGGACAATGCGTCAGTGGACAATCCGTCAGTGAACAAATTTGTAATTCCTACCCATACCCTGACTATCGCGGCCAAAATTTTAATTTTAACGTCTGAGGAGTTATGAGAGATATCGAAAATTTGGAGATTAACGAGGAAATCGGACGATTTAGCTGGATTAAAGGATATAAGTGGATTTGGGAGATATCGGGGATTTCAAAGATATTGTGGGATTAAGGGGAATATACAAGATTTGCATTATTATGGTGGTTATCGAGGAATTTAGAAGATTAAGATGGATTTCGGGGATTAAGTGGGATATCAAAGTAGATAACCGGATTAAGAGGATTTGGAGGTCGTTCCATGATATCCATCTAAATACTTTTTCTTATTCATAGAGTTCCCACAATTCCACGATATCTATTTAAATCCAACATAATCCCATCCGTTAATCATGTAAATCTAATCCATCCAAATCTCCTATATCCTTTTAAATCCATCGACATTATTGTAAATCCATCGACAATTCTCCCAAATGGCCCAAAACTTCCAAATCCACTTAGGTATATCCTTTAATCCAGCTAAATCGTCTGATTTCCTCATTAATCTCCAAATTTTAGATATCTCTCATAATCCTCCAGACGTTAAAATGTGAAATTTTTGGCCGCGGTAGTCAGGGTATGGGTAGGAATTACAAATTTGTTCACTGACGGATTGTCCACTGACGCATTGTCCGACCACTGACGGATTGTCCACTGACGGATTTTCCACTGACGGATTGTCCATTGACGGATTGTCCGGTCACGGTCTAGCGATGTCATATTTTCGAACATTTTTAAAATACAAAGAAATAATAGAAGCACGATTCTTTAACATTATGTAAAATTTTTACTTTACGAGATAGGAAAAAATTTTCAAAATAAAATGTGTAGAGCGCGAATCATAGAATATGGGAAATCCAAACAAAAAGCAAAATTAAAGTAAATTTTAAGAAAGGACAAAATAAAACTTGTCGCCGAACTTTTGCCCCACCCTGTATAAAAAACTACAAACTAAACTATCCATCTGTAATTTCTAATAATAAGTTAATTTTTAGCTGGATTCTATAAACCATACAAACCAAATGTGGTTGTAGGTCTTCATTTGAAAAGGGGACATTTGCCAGCAAGTAGTTGGATTAAACCTGATGACGAGGATGTTAAAAAATATAGTGGATTATGGCACACTGATAGTGAAAAGGATTTGATTATTCATCATGATTATGACAAAAATGAGAAACGAATACTTGATCGTTGCTCATTTTATGGGTTTGAAAATTCTTATTTTTATAAAATCAACTGAAACTAGAAACCAGGATACTAACTCTGAACCCATAGTCCAGCATTATCTTGGAAAGACACAAACCAGGGAAATACCGTTTCAATCCCGATAATTTATATTTTTCTTTTTGTACAACCACAATCACGACACAAAATTAAATATTAAAAAATTTATAAATAATTATTAGAAAATACGAGTTGGATGAAAATGGTTATCCAATCAACCCAATTACACGTACTGGTTTTATTACACGTGGAGAATTGTACCAATGGGGACCAAGTAAAGGAGTTGGAGCAATTTTATACTCAAAAAGCATAAATGATGAATTTTCATTTCTCGGCGTTATGAATGGGAAGTATGAGAGACCAGAAGGTATACTATATATTCTTCATCAAAAAGTAAGGGTTTAACACATTAAACTCGAGCCTGTGAGTTTGAAAATACTTATTGACACCTTAATTAAATTCGAAAAATTGTGAACAACATTGTTGTCTCATTTGGATTCCCATTCAACACATGGATTCCCAACTTTTAATAAATCTCCCCAATCATGTCTAACCGATGTTTAAGCATCCTTAAATTTATTTTTTAATTTACCTTCTAAATTAAAATTAAATACTTATAAAAGTTTTATCGTAGTATGGATTAAAATACTATCACTTATAGATAGAAGAATCACTACTCCAGGAGGGTATGTTGATCCAGATGAAGAATTTGAAGATGCAGCAAAGAGAGAATTAATTGAAGAAGGTCTAGCAAATAAAAAGGTAGGGAAAGAAGAAAAAGCTGAATTCGAAAATAAACTCAAAACTCTTATGGGTGATGGAGAATTGGTGATATTTGGCTATAATGATGCGAAAGAGGTGATAGAACTTTAACGTATTTGGTTCGGTAATTCAATTTCAATATTTTACAGACAAACACAGACAATGCATGGACAGAATCTGTAACCTACGCTTTTGGAATTGACCACAAAAATTTAAATGAATTTGAAGCAGATCATGGAAGTGATGCAATAAAAGCAATGTGGATGACGATTAAAGTTAATGAAGATTCGACTGAAGTAAAGTTACTAAAGGAAAAAGTAATTAAAGAGGAGTCAAAAGTAGCAAAGAAAGAAAAACAGGATGAAATGCAAGTAGATTTGCCAGTTGAGCATATTACATTTGGAGATGTCGAAGACTTTAAATTAAAAAAAGAAAGAGAGTTTAAAGTTAAAAATCTTCTTGATAAGAAAATAAGAAACATGTTCAGTATAGAGGAAAAGATTGATTTTGTTCTTAAGACTTTCAAGGTTGCTATATTTTTGACAACACATGATTTTGTATCTTAATTTATGGAAATTTTATTGCAACAACCACTAAACTTAATTCTGACCTTTCCTTAACTAAAGTAATATTTTAGGCATGCCGGACTGAATATGTTGAAGAGGGGAAATTAGAAAAAACTGAAGAAATCGCCGGCAAAGAAACGGGAGAATCCAGTTCCAGTAAAGCAAAATCGACTAAGAAGGTTCCAGTTGAAATTTGCTTAAATTTGAATGATAAAAACATGGAAGGGGTTGCTCGTTTATTCCTCGTTAAACTATACGGAGAAATGCCTTATTTGGAATTTCTCGAAAAACAAAAGTCGAATCAGGGAACATATGTAGTCAAAAGGGGAAAAGTATCTACTCCGATTACTGGTAGTAAGTTTATTTATTAAATAAAATTATTTAAAAATGATAGAAAAACGCCTTCATGAACAAGGGAGCGGTAGTCATCATGAACAGTTAGAAGGAAAAAAGAGTCCAAGAACAAGTTTAAGCCCGAGCAAAAAGAGAGGTGGAAGCCCAACTAAAGGTCATTAAAATGAGTTTATTTAAAGAGCAAGTAAAAGACTATGTACAAGAAAGTAAAAACTAGAGCATATTGCTCTCATATTTCTTCTGTCAACTTTTTATCAATTTAGCTGTAGTATGACCAGATGCTCACTAATTCTCTTGTTTATATTATACTTGATATTTAGTCAAAAATATTATTTGGGATCCTTCATATTATTATAGATCACAGATTTCTGAAAATTTTCTTAAATTTTTTGAAATAAACAAGAAACTAGAAGAGCCGGTCATTAGAATACTTTATTAGTTATGTACATATTATTCTTTATGTAAATATTATTTATTTTTCTTTACTATTTTATTGACAAACATTGTGATTCTTCAAGATTATTTTAGTATGTACATATAAAACATTTAGCATTTTGTTCGTTAATTTCTAAATTTAAATTCAAAATTTAAACAAGAACATAATAGAAAACTAAGGAACGATTGACGATAAAAACGTAAATTTAATAGCGAAACTTTAAAAATACAGGGTTACATAATAAAAACTGCACACTTTTCATTTAATCATAACCTTTTACTTCTTAGAATTTTTTAATTTTTTTCCGCTTATTACATATATCTTGCTTATTACATATCTCTTTCAGAACTTTTAAGCCTGATTCCATTTACTTGTTTAGCACAAGAAGATATAAATTCTAACAAGGAGAATAAGAGAATCTTTTAGACAATTCCCATGCCCGACCCTATTTAATTTTTAAATTGAACCGAAAAATTCCCCACGTTCGGTTACAGTAATTAGTCGGAACTATTCCCTGAAACACTTAATAATGGTCAAAATATTAAAGTTTAATCTAATCAGCTTTTTCAAGGGAAAATGAATTTAAATTTATATAAAAATGAATTAAATAATTCAAAAATCTCAAGAAAGAGATAAACAATATGTAAATTATTCTTCGTATTTTTGTTAATTAATTAGCAAAATTTTTAAAATTTTTGTTTTGTTTGTTTTGAAAAAATGTCATGCTGTCACAATTTTTGCAAAAGCAAGGAGGTGTTGGTGCTTCTACAGGTTTTTTCTCCAACAAATTATTATTGTTCCTTGATAGTGAAGAGGCAGAAGAACTTGGGATTATAAATTGTGTTTAAGATTATAAATTTTGATTATTTTGTAATACTAATATTGTCTTTGACTAAGTTTTATACACCTAGTTGAATATTGGCTTGTGTCACTTAGGATATTGATCAAGGTTGGACACTTCCGGTTATTAACCGATACACGCGGATTTCTGTTTCAGTTTGGTTAACCATTTGTGTCCAACCATATTATTGATGTTAGTTATACAAAGATTCACGCCCCCATGTTATGTTTTTACTAGGAGCTCTCCTTATTGAGCTATATGTGCTTCTAGAATGTTCAAATTATTCAGGAATGACTGGCTGTTAATATATTATACATACATAAATCTTTGATTTATACTTAATTATATATTGCGGAATATATTTGTAAAATTTACCCAAAAATGTTTTCGAATTGACTCATTACAAATTGTGCCAAATTTCTCATAAAATTGGCACTGTCTTTGACCATTTGCTCTTCAAATTCACGCATTTCTTGAAGATATTCCTCAATTTGTTGTTGTTCCTCCGATGTTGGTGTACGTTCCTCACCATTATCGTTAATTACACCATCCTAAATTAATTTTAATATTTATTTAAATAATTTATATTTTGAATTATTTTTTAATAAAAATTATAAAAATTTCTTAGAATTTATATTTTACTAGGAATGGCTTATAATTAAGTAAGACCGATCGAATAAAGCTTTCTCTTTTATCATTTTAGAACGTTTAACACCCGCGTCCTTGTTTAAAATTTTAAATGCTCTAGGTGAATCATCATTACAATAATTTATATTTTATTTTTAATTAATTTTTAATATAAATCTTTAGATAATCTTATCACAGTTTTGCATAAAAGCTTAGGTTCTGCATTGTCAGAAAATATTTAAATTTATAAACATTATGTTTTAACGGTAAATGTCCAGAAAAGTTCGTGAGATTTACGAATTTACATATAAAAATTTTTGCGTAATATATGACAAAAAACAGGGATTTGAGGTATCGGTGGAAATATTTAAATATTTAGTTTTAACATTGGACGAAGCATCAAACATAATCAAAACAATCTATGAATTTAATGCATATACAAATTTTGAGGCTTTAATTAAGTCGGATTTTATTGTTGGTTATTATGAAAAATGGCATGAAAGAGAATTAAAAAATAAATTTGAAAGAATAAATTTTAAAACACTCAATCCGAATGAACAAAATATATTGCGCGAGTTAAGTATTTATTTAATTATCACTAAAATAAAATTATAGTATGTATGTTTACTTTAGTGGATAGAATCTCAGAATAACTTAGATTTTGTCTCAATCCGATTTAGTTCCCTATTTTTTGTGAACAATATTAATTATTGTTGGCGGATACTGCTAAATATCCTTATCAGGGGTGTGCGAGTTTCGCGTTTCGCGTTTCGCCTTTCGCGGATTTTCGCGTTTTTTGGATTTTCGCGTTTCGCGTTTCGCGCGTCGCTTTTTTAAATTTACTTTCGCATTTCGCGTTTCGCGTTTCGCTTTTTGCGCGAAATGCGAAAGTTTTATACACCCCTAATGACGGGTGAAAGATGGTAAAGTTGGAGAAAAATGAGGCCCGAATAAATTGTAAACTTCCAAAATTCTCAAAATTTTCGCCTGCGGTGCAGAAAAGTGAAGAAATCTAACTTAAGGATTTCCAAAATTCAAAAAATTTTCGCCTGCGGCGCTGAAAGGAGATGAAATCTGGCTAAATGATTTCCGAAATTCAAATAATTTTCGCCTGCGGCGCTGAAAGAGGAAGAAATCTGGAGCCTTGGTTTACCATAATTCTCAAAATTTTTGCCTGCGGCGCTAAAAATGAAAGAACCTTGCCATAAGTTTGTCGCCCGATATTCCCCTAGATCCGCTAACACTCAAATCCTCCATATCCTTCGGAATTTACCTAAATACTCCTGAGTCCAACTTAATCCACACAAATACCAAAACGTAAACCACTAAAATTCCACTTCTTTTCCACTGAAATGTTTTCAAAGCGAGGTACGGACTTCTGAATATCCGAAATATAGGATATAAAATAAAGGATGGAACCTGGTTTATGTCTGATATCCCCTCAAATCCTTTGATATCCCGGATGCCTGTCAAAATCCTAATGGTGATTGTAAGATTCAGTTGAGCTTTTATTTGGAACAAAGCACTGAGTTGATAGATCCTTAAAAATTTTTCAGCGTATCGGAAAATGTAAGAATTTCGCGTTTCGCGTTTCGCCTTTCGCGGATTTTCGCGTTTTTTGGACTTTCGCGTTTCGCGTTTCGCGTGTCGCTTTTTTAAATTTACTTTCGCGTTTCGCATTTCGCGTTTCACTTTTTAAATTTAATTTCGCCTTTCGCGTTTCGCTTTTTAAAATTCGTTTCGGCACACCCCTGATCCTTATATCATGATTCGTTTCCGGTCGGAAGGACTTTTCGGACACTGAGACAAATACATTCATTATTACTTATAATTTATCAGCTATATTTATTAGGTTATATGTATTATAATAAAATACGCAATTTTTTTAATACGCAGTTTATCTAAAAAAATAGCTATTTTAGACCCATACGAATAAAACATTCAATAGTTTCTCATTTTTGCAATCAAAAGGTATGTTCATTCATTCATCTATTTTGAACAAAGGAAAAGCGAATTGGGTCAATGAAGATTTAAATAAAAACTTTTTAAAAATAGAAGGATTTATGAGAGAATTGTTAATATCGATATTCGGTGGAAATGTAAATGAGAATTTGGTTAGTTTTAAGGATTTATTTGAGCCAAATTTTATACGAATAATTTATTAATTTTTATTTTAAAAACGCAGAAACAGAAGATATTAATTTCAAATTTGCCGGAATATATTGATGAACAATGCAATGTGGAATTAGCAAGGAAATTCAATTCAAACTGGTCTTTGGGTGAGGGAGAACATGCTTTGTGTATTTTATCACGTCTTTTTATTTTTGCAACAGCGTTGGAAGAGAAATTAGTATATAAATATAAGATAAAGGTAAATTTAGTTGTATAGTTAATGAAATGGTAAATAGTTAATGAAATGGTTATGATACTTTGTAAAAAATTCCTTTGATTTTAAAATCAAGATAAATTTATTAACTTTAAAGGCAATATCAAAAGTAAAAGGTCATCATGAAGGCCAATCTGATAGAATGTCTATCCTCAACGATTTTATAGAAAAAGCTCGAGGAGTATGGTTACAGGAAGCTTCTATTAATATTTTGGAAAATTTGGGTCCAAATAATGAAGTCACAATGCTTAAAAATAGAAAAATGAAAGAAAAATATTTAAGTAAAGGACTGTTTTCAACTGAAACTGCTAAACAAAAAGCTGAGCTTTTGGGCGCTGAATTTATTGGTTTATTTGATATTCAATTTGGGGATATTAATGTAAAGGTGGAAAATCAAATAGATTTGGATGATTTTGACTTTGATTTTAGCAAAACATCAGGCATTGATTTTAATTTATTGCAAGATTTAATCTAATCTAATTTTATTTTTACTCCAAAATTATCTAAAAATTTTTGCTTTGAAAATCACATCGGTAAAGCGACGCCGAAATAACAATCCGAAGCAAAAATCTTCGGTTTTTTTATTGTTGAAAGCTATAACTCATCCTTTTATACTTTTTTACATCCATTATCATTCTGTTAATATTTATGCAAAACACAATATTAATTAAGGCCCTGACTATTTTCGAGATTACGAGAATCGAGATCTCGAACAATCTAGATCTCCATAAGATTTTTCGTCTTGGTCAGGGCTATAATATTAATATTCTTCATTACTCCTGATTTAAATTGTCTATGTATGTATCAAAAACATTTGTATAAACACTTTTATAATTGATTTGTTACATTATTTT